AGATAAATTCACAGTCTCATAAAAATACAGCTCAGCTCAACAGCTGCTCATTCAACATCTGCATGCGTATCTAACTGCAGAATCCAATTACAGTGAGCAGTGAGCTTAATTTTGGTGAGGTACAGACCGCAGGAGAGACTGTAAGAGAGACAGAGTGAGTGAGGGAAGGAGTAAATAATGTCTGTCTACTGTAAATATGACAGGCTGTCTTATATCTGCACATTATATACTGTATATGTACAGCTGTGTGAGCTGAGCTTCATGTGACAGATCTGGGTTACCTTTCCTGTTCTCTGCTGCACATTATGCAGACTCCACTATTCCATGTTTAAAAATAGCAAAAAGGAAAAGAACACTGACACATCCAGTGCACATAACCCAAGACTGCATGTGTTGAAGATATTATCAGTGGCGGCTGTTAATACTAGCATAAGGGATTAGACAAAGTAACAGAAACATCTTACAGTAGTAGCCCTGCAATAAACTGTAGTCACTTTGGTGTTTTTTTTTTAAATTTATTTGACACTGTCAGTGGTAATTTTGGATTCTGTGGACTCTATTGTTGTAAAGTAAATATGCTTATTAAGTCATGAACTAATGCTCCTCCAACCAGTCAAAGTGATATTTACTGCCCTTACATTGTTTTGTATTGAATGGTATTTCCATTCTTATACCCACCTCCTCTCTGCCAGACACAGACATCACATAAATTCCAGCAGCACTTTCATCTTAAAGGTTAAGTGTGTAGGATTAAAAGGGATATATTTGTACAGGCAGAAATTAAATATAATATAATAAGTATGTTTTATTTAGTGTATAATCACCTAAAAAATAAGAATCATTGTTTTTTTCTTACCTTAGAATGAGCCACTTAAATCTACATAGGGAGCAGGTCCTCATCCATAGAGATTGCCATTTTGTACTGCCATGGTTCTACAATCGCCCAGAATGGACAGATCAAACACTGACTCTAGGTAGGGCCATTCATGTTTTTGCATCGGCCACCATAGCTAGTAGCCCTTTGCTACAAAAGCATTGGAAAAGCACAGATTTTTTTTTAACTGAAACCTTCGTTCAGTGTTTTTATCACTTTGAATCCAACTGTTTCAGAGAGGAAGAGACCTCTGTGGATGATTGGTTCCCGCTTAAAACCTCCTAAATAATGAACACTTAAAATTCTAACCAGAAGAAGTTTTAGCTGGTTGCAATCTGCAATTCTCACCACTAGATGCCACTAAATCTCCTAAATCTAACACAGTGTTTCTTTAACAGCTGAGCATGTTTCAGTTAGACTTTGTCAAACTAGTATTCAATGGGTTTCACAGCCTCCAGTGAAAGTAAACATGCCTCTTGGGTTTTTAAGGCTGGCTGACGTATTGACGACTCAGACTGCAGTATGCATTGTACTTTTGTCTGCAGCTTCCTGTCTTTTCCCCGGAGGTTTTTCAGCACTGCACTGGCCTTGATCGACAGAATCCAGTGTGCAAACCAACTATTGGTGGTTAAGGAAATAAAGTGAATTACAGTATTTTGTGCAGTAAGGTGTGGGATGTGCCAAGATATAGCTGATTTGGTGAAGTTAGTTACAACCTGAACAATGTCAATCTTGGAGAGAAACAAAAGGGCATACATGAATAATCTGCAACAGGTAAGACAGGAAGAACAAAACTGCTGAATTACTCATAAAGTTATTTGAAACAAAGAAAGGAGGATTTGTATTTTGGCATTACATACTATATCTAGAACTCAACAATAATAAGC